CGCACTGTTATAGAAAACTAAACATTTTTTTCTGGTTTTCTTTTCCCCTTCCTATGTTTAATCATAGGCTGAAGCAAATGTAAACTGAAATCAAAAGAAGAAATGGTGATGATCTTTGTGAGTACAATGATATAACATTTTTTGTCATCGGAGTGACAAATAAAGTCTTAATTTGATGAAGCAAACTACTGATTTTTCTTTAATTTATACATGCTTTTCTGGAAAGAATAAAATAAGTGAAACTGGACAGTGCAGAGAAGCTACTATTTGAGAAAATATCTTTGTTCACTTGAATATAGGAGAATGCAAAGGGTGCTCTAGCAAAGATAACCTTTGTGCATGATTTTCTAAGGGATATTGATTCATGTATGTACAATTCGAAGAAGGAAAATTGTTTTAAAGTAAGCTTTCAATTTTTTTTTTAGAATTTGCTTAAAAATTAATAATTTAACCTTCCTCATATAATATACATGAAGAGCAACATACTGAGATTAAACCTAGTCTTAACAACTGATATAATTCTTTAAATGTAACTTAGATTTTCAGTTGCTTTTTTTTTTTTTTTTAAAAATTATTTTTTCTTTCTTCTGATCAGGTTTTCAGATCTTTTAAATCACACACATAAAAAAAAAAAAAAAAAAAAAAAAAAAAAAACTAAATTTTCAAAATTTGCAATTTTTATTTACTTATTTATTTATTTTTTTGTCATTTGAACCTTTCAAATTCTAATTGCCAAATATTTTAACTCAAAACTTTGAAAAGAAATGTTTTATATTGCTCAGTAGAAGTGCTCATTAAAAAAAAGCACCAGTAGTTGCAATTTTGATAGTATTTGAATCATTAATATTACCACATGACAGCCCTGAGTACCTCTTTTATTTATTGTATTCTATGAAATCTACCAGAATTTATATGTAAACATTATGCTGCATTTCTTCAAAATTGTTTGAAACTTAACTCTTGAATCATCTTGATTATTCTACATATAAATAACCTATGAATAAGTCTTGAACACTCATGGCAAGTTTGTGAGGTATTTTCTCCATCCTTATTGAGTGCCACAGTGGTGTAATTGGAAGCATATCTGGCTAGCAAAGGGGAAGTCCAAAGTTCGTATCCTGGCAAACACATTGCACATTTTTTATGTTTCGTACTTTGACAAACCTAATGAGTCAACACAGTATATAAATACTGTAATACAAATATGACTCCAGCTGTCTACCAGCTGAAATATTCAGTCATAGTTGTTAAATTTTGAATTGTTAATTGAAATCTGATGAGTTATAGTTTGACCATCAGAATATGCAACTTTGGCTGGCATTCTGCTAGAACACTGAGAATCACCCTGAAGGATGTTAATTACATGCTGCAGAGTGAGAGGTCACATAAAGGTCATCTCTTTGTTTGAAAGGGGGAATTTATGACCAAAGATAGGATCCTGTCATCAGTGCCTTTCGCACCTTTGTTTCATATTCACAGAAACAAGTGCTAGGATTTCTATTAGTTTGCAATCTTTAAAACAAGAGTGTTGAAATTATTTTTTCATAATTTGTTAATTCATATGAACAGCACATATTTCATCATTTATTTTTAAAAATAATGTCACTAAAAATCATGGAATTATATTCTTTTTTCATGAAAGTGTTCTTTTTGCAGAATTTTTTTTAATAAAAAAATGTGAACAACTTCCAACCTATTTGAGCTTGATCAGGCCTGATTGCAGTTAGTTTAAGGTGACATTTGCCAGTATTTTGAGCTTTTATACAAGAATTTTTTCCGTTCATTTTTCTAAAGTAAATTTCAGGTTCCCTTCCTCAATATGTGTTGGTACCATATAAATTTTAGAGAAAAAAAAGAATAGTATGCTTTTTGTAATTAATTGTAATAATAATTTATTATTATATAATTATTAAGGAATTTCATGTATTTCAGTGTGTAATAATGATCATACATTTTAGCTCAAAGATAAAAAAGATATATAATCATAAATTGTAGAATAATTATAATAGTTATATACTATTGTAAAATTATTATAATCAAATGTAGGGTTACATTTTTTCTTGTAATGTTATTTAGTTTAATAATCCTAACAGAGGTTAACGAAATTATCACTATGTCTGAAACAACGACAAAGTCTAGAGAAGGCTAACAATTGAATTTTATTGGAGAAGTCAGACAATAAGAATCAGCCTAATATTTGTAAATTTTGCAGGATTAGTTTCAATGGTTTAACTACAAAACTATCTTCCGCAGCTGCCTAACTGCAAATGAACCAGATAAGATATGGTGATAAGATGAGTGTAAAGAAGTTAAGCCACTGATAAAACAAGATAACTAAAACATAATTTCCGTAAAGGTAGGAGGTATAGAAGGATTGGAATTAGGGTCATTAACTAGACCAGAAAGTTAACTTTAACTCCTTTCAAAAATCTAATTTACCAATGGAAGGCATTTTTTTGAATAATTTTTGCTGGGAAAAAAAAAAAAAAAGGAAAGTGTTATTTTCTGACTAACAGTACTGGGCAACAGTGGATTTCCATGTTTCCTTTTTCCTAACATATACCTCATATTTTTTATTACTATTTATGTTATTTTCCACTTTTTGTTGCAGACGAGTTGCAGTTAAGGGATCAAACAAATTCTTGTGACTCGCAAGCCATAGTTAACAGGCCTGAGAGCTGCAGTTTAACTGGTATATAGTGTTGCGTGCGTACGGGTTCTTAATAGACTGAATGCACACAGTCCAATGACAGGTTAATAAAATTTATTTAATCAAAAGAAACCACAGAAATTCTCATACAGGTGTTCACAGTATCACAGACTACAATCAGTAGTACACTTCGAACTAGTAAAAATGTTAAACGCAGTGCAGTGCTAAGTACATCTAACGAGAAAGCTAACTCAAATGTATCTCAATTCATGTGGCATTAACAACTTGCAACAACAACTAAGCAACTGAGAACAGATGCTCTCTCTTTGGCCTTGAATAGTTTTCAAACAGCCACGAGATATTTCTAGTACTTTCTGCTTCTCAAAATGACTGAAAAGCAATACGAGGGTGCAATTATGGTTACAGCTAACAATTTTTTTTTTACTTTTCGGTCAATTAAATTTATTCAGTTACAATACTTATTACGGTGATACCGGTACCGGATCAAATGGTCACCTTGCCAAAACCCTTGTCAGGTTGGCAATATCTTGAGAAATTACTGAGTTACCCATTTATTCAATGTTAAATGGACTTGCCCCTGTATTCTTACTTTTCTGGCATAGCTTTATCTTAAAATTTGTTTTGTGTTACATTACACAGAAAAATACAACAATTTCACACATAATTGCACTAAAATCATCTAGCTATGTACAAATTTCATAACAATAGCATTAAAAATACTTTTTCAGTTATAATTAATGCTGAAAATGTTTGTATGAGTTGTATATATTAACAAATCATACGTAACTAAAAATAAAATAAAGATTTAAATTATTTAGAAGTGCATTTTATTCTTTTTAAATTGCTCAGTTTAATGCAGGTTGATTAAATCTGAAAGGTAAAGTTCTTATGTCTGGCCGTATTGCAGTTATTGCAAAATCATCTGGAAAATAAATATCTTGCTTTTCATCCAGTGGCAGTACTTTCTAAGCTGAAATGACAGATAAGCCTAGTCTAATGTCGTTAGGTTGGAAGATAATAAAATGTACATCACCATTTATTTTCTACTACCGTAATTTCCGGAAGAAAGGCCGCATCAGCGTAAACGCCGCACTCGAGAAAAATGGCGGGAAAAAAATTAAAATTACCCAGAAACGCCGCATCAGCGTAAACGCCGCAATAGATTAAATTGCGCGTGACATCGTCGTGGGCCGTATAGATGCAAAAACTCAACCTGAGTCCTGATATATGACATACCAGTTAAGAAAAATGCATGAAATGAAACCATAACTCAAAAATAAAGGTAAGAAATGTATAGCTTCTGTGCCGTTTAGAGACATTTTCAAAAATTTTCCGCTCCCTTCTTACTTAAAAACTATCCAACAAGTACTTGTACCCAAACTGATGGGATCTGTATTTGGCAGAATGCCAAGTAAAAATCCATTCATGCTGAAGGGGAAATACGTCAGAGTTCGTTATTGCGAGGCAGGTGGAGTCGTGTTCGCCTTTGAAAAAAATTGCAGAAAAGGCAGGGGTGGGGAGAGGATGGGTCCTGGAAGATTCATCGAATGGCAGAGGAGAGAGACTATTCAAACTGATGAGAATGTTCATTTGAAAGGGGGAAGAATGTTATTGTTCTGAGATCTCGTGTAGGGTGAATAAGGCATGTAGGTCCGTTCAAGGGAAAGAATGTAAACAAAATAACGCTCGCAAAAATCAACTGAGTGGTCTTTTGTGTGGGAACAGCACCAATTTATGCACAATGACAAGGCCATCCAAACTATGTACAATGGCCATCATAGGAAATATTTTATTTTTAGTGCACCTAAACGCCGCATGGGTAGAAACGCCGCACCCGCTGAAAATTTAAGTTTTAAACATATAAACGCCGCGGCGTTTCTTCTGGAAATTATGGTAATAAATAATTCATGTATAATTATTAATAATCCAGTAATAAAAATTTGGTTATTATTTTTTATTATTAGTCTATTTAATTTCTAATTGTGTATATATATATATATATACATATATATATATATAATTTATTTACTAAATAATATTGATTAATTGATTATATTATCTCCTAAGTTTAATTAAAGTAGAATTATCTTAAAAGAGTGAATCCATACTAAGTTATATTTTGAAAGATGTTTTGAAGTAACTTGAAAGCAATAAGCATCAACAATGAAACATACATTAAAAATGCTACTAACAATTTTGTTTGTATTGTTAGATTATGGTCTGATTTTTCATTGAATTTTCTTTTCCATCTATTCAGATATGTGATGAAATGTTTATGTGTATGTCACTGCATGAAAATCTGAAATTAAGGGAATTTTTTTATTTGTAGTATGTGCTGAAGCCAACATTTACTGAAGAAGAAATATCTGTTTTGGATACAAATGACAAATTATCTCGAGCATATAATGGTACTACATATATGCCAGGTAAATAGTTATTCTACATCAATTTTAAATGTGTAAACATTAAAAGATATTGCATTAAAACTTCAGCAATTTGATATTATCACTGAATTGAAGTGAATATTTAGGTAAATCCCATTGAAAGTTAACTTTTCTCAATTAATTGAATATCTTTAAGTCCGATTGATCAATAAGTCATTTTTACTTCCTTGTAACAAAAAACTTTGAGTATCATATTTCAATGAAAATATCCATTTCAACTTGTTGCTTTAAATGTGATTGAATTATGTAGTTTTTATGTTCCAGCTAAGATTTATCTGCCTTTAGTTAATCTGCATGCAATTCTTGTAGAATTATCAACAATTTTTAAAGCTTCAAGTGCTGAGTTAGCCTAACAAACCACCATTTGTTTACATTTGAGACTCAGTAGAATAGTTAATTCAGTTTCTGCACCTTCAATATCTTTTTGCCAAGTGGGACCAAAAGTAAACTTTCAGTTTTTGTGTACCGAAAAATCTGCCTTCTTGCCCAGTGGCTGAATTGCTTGTTTTTGCATACAAACTCTAATTTTAATTGTCAAAAAAAAAATTTTTTTTTTTTTAATGTTTTAAATGTATTTTGTGTCTTATGTTTTTCTGTAATTTACAATTTTTAATGAGGATATTTTGAGTTTTTATGTATTTTTGCTTTGCCATGAAGGAAGAACTGAATTAATTGAATGAGAAATATATCTCTAATAAAATTCGAGGAAATAAGTTTAAATGAAATGCTGTAAAAAATGTGCATAATTTAATAGGCCATACAAGGAAGTCATGTAATGTCCACATCAGATTTTTTATATATTTTTTATTTTGACAAATATGAGTTTGATTTATGTCTTAATAACAAACAATATTGTACACTTATCATCATGGAAACCCTTAATGTGAGGTAAATTTGTGCTTACATGGTTTGTATGACATTTGTGACCTCAAAATACAAGCATATTTTTACTTATGCAAGTATTAAAGAAAATTTAAATTTATTTTAGAATCAATCTATATTTTTAATTAGGAATAGTAAAACTGAGTTTTTTGCATTCACTTTATTTCTTTATTCTGTTTTAATATATATATATATTTTTAAATCAAAAGCTAATAACTTTAAATTAGTGTTTCTGTACACACTGTCTATATTAACATTTTCACATAATACTTCTGCCTTCAAATCAGAAGTAATGTTAGCAAACACAACAAGCAATTAAAAAAATTTTTTTTTTGCTGTTGCTTTAACCCTTTGTGCACAAAAAAGAAGTAATGCCTGATGAATTATATGGATGGTTTGCTATGTATTATGTGGTGGTCAGTCACAGCTGGTTAAGTGAACATAAGCTGTATAATTTTTCATTAGAAGCACATTGTGAGTACATTCATACCATGATTATGAACTGTAGAAATGCTTTAATCATTTTGATTTGTATTAAAATTTCCTCAAAATTTATGTATTAGAATTCGTACTCTTAATTTTGGTTATAATTCAGATTTCATGTGCATAAAAATAACTTATTGTTACTATTTGCAGTAATTGTTGTTTGTTTTTTAAATATATTTATAAGCATATTTACAAGAACTCTGTGTTTCTCAAGTAATTTTCTGTAAGTCTTTTACTTAGATTTTTGATTACTCTGTTTTCCCTTCCTCTTGAATTTCAGTTCCCAAGATCTTTTCTTTCTTCTTTCTTTCTTTCTTTCTTTCTTTCTTTTTTTTTTTTTTAATGTTAATTTAAGGTTGAATTTGAACAGATTTAAACACATTTATCTGAATTCAACCTCAAATTGATAGTTTTAGAGTTCAGGTTAATGAGATTTATGTTTATTTGTTAAGCATTTATTTATTTTGTGTTTTACTCTTTAAATTTTTTTTTCTTAATTTTTAGGAATTGTGGGATTAAATAATATAAAAGCTAATGATTATTGCAATGTAATTTTACAGGTAAGTCAGTGTGAAGATGTGTTATGTTACCACTTTTTATTGTTAATTTCATTTTAATATAATAGTTTCGTTTCAATAAAACAAGATACCAAATGAAAACAAAATTAAGCAATGAAATTCATTTTTATATGCTTAAACATACAGTACATTTGTTTCACCTTAAATAAACAAATGAAATTGGTTTTTATTGCCTTAAAATGAAATTATTTTTGCCTTTATGTTAAACGTATAACCTTGTTTTTATTTGTTCTAAGCTAAAATTAAAGAAATTATTAATTACTCAAAACAAATATGTTATATATTTTTCAGTAAAATTTAACTAATTATTATATGCTGCATAAATTGCTTGTAATTGTTTTTCTCTCAGTGTATACTGGCAGCATATTCAGAAAAATTGTTGGCTAATCTGTATTAAAATAAATATTGAAGATTAAATTATTTGGTGAAACTACGTTAGTGTACACATTGCAGCATGCTTATTTGATCTTTATCAAAAAATTATGTTTATTGCATTTGCCAATTTTTTTAATTGCAAAGTTATGTTTTCTTCCAAATTTTTAATTGAGATGAAAATTGTTAAATGTATAAATTTTCACTTTCAAGAATTATTCCTTTCAAAGAGTTGCAAATTTAACTTAAACAATAAAAATTCACATATTGTTTGGTTTTTTTGTGTGTTTGTACAATTTTATATGACTCTTAATATTGGAGACTTATAATGAAACTGGCATTTTCCACAGTATATAATGTTGTGTATTTAAATCTAAATTATTTTTAAGTAGAATTGGTTAGGAAAATTATATTAATTATTACATAGTGTTAAGTAATTTGTGTGTAAAAAAGTGTGAAAATGCTTTGAAATAGATGTGATGATTTGATTGAAGAGTTGGTAAAAAAGTGTTTCTAGAGAAATTGCTTTGAAACTTAATTAAAGTCCTTAGAAAATTTAAATTCAGGCAAAAATGCAGCCTTAGTTTGGTGTAGATTTTGAGGGCAATCACACATAAGTCTCTGCTTTTCAGTAACAGAAAAATTTTTAGCAAATGCAGAATTAAAAAAATCCTGCAAATGCAGAATTAAAAAAATTTATTTTTTTATATGTATGGACTGTTATAAAAATAAGTGTTATAGGTACTTGTCGTTTATCCAATTCCCTGTGATGCATTGCAAACAGTCTTTTAGCAGCTTTATTTACTTCCTGTAGTATTGCTTGGCAGTTGCGTTCAAAATGGCATCAAACAGATTGTTATTCTCTGTAGTTTGCCTATGTGTGAATTTTGATAAGAAAATAAAAGATAGCAAACTGTACCATGTTACCTCTTTGTGCATGGCCAGTTTTTATGTCATAAGGAGGACTTTCTGTTCTGTAGGTGGGCAAGGCTGCATCCAGATTTCACCATGTCATCACTTGTTCATCTATTTTGCTATATTCCTTTGTATGGATTTTGATAAGTAAGAAGTTAAATGGTGACAATCTGTGCCATGTTACCACTTTAGACATGGCCAGTTTTTATGTCATAAGGAGGGCTTTTACCTCTCCAGGTGGGTGAGGCTGCATCCAGATTTCACCATGTCACCACTTATTCTTCTATTATGCTTATTTCTTTGTATAGATTTTGATAAGAAGATAAATAATGACAATCTGTGCCATGTTACCACTTCGAGCATGGCCTTTTTTTTATGTCATAAGGACAGCTTTTTACTCTCTAGGTGAGTGAGGCTGCACCCAGATTTCACCATATCACCACTTATTCTTCTATTTTGCTGATCCTCACATATTTCCATTGTTTGTATGTGGACCTCAGACTTATAATCAGAGTTGACATTAAAATAAGAAGCACACTCCTTTGTCCCCCCAACACAAAATATTAACAAAAGTAGAAAAAGAAATAACAATCTCATCTTTGTAGAAGAATGCAAAATAACTAAAGTTATCAAAATACTCACAAGCATCAGTAATAGGTGGTATTTTTGGCTATGTTTTGGCAGGTAGTGGATAGTCAAGAAGTACTCTATTATATCCCAGATATGAGAAAAGAGAAAAACTGTAAGTTATTTGTTAAATATTGAGGCTGAAATATAATATGATAAAGAGAGATAAATAAATAAATAATAAAAAGTGAGTAAATTGCCAGTATTAGTCCTTTGATACATTACAGAAATATCAGTTTGTGTTAAAACATTTACAGTTTCACTGGTGCCACTTGTTATAATCATTAATTCAACCTCAAATGGTTTTGTAAATTTTAGTTGAGAAGAATGCAAAATTATAATATACTTTTTGCAGGCTTTGTCTCATGTTCCACCCCTTCGCAATTTCTTTCTAAGAGAAGAAAATTATGCGTCTATTAAGAGACCACCTGGAGACACAATGTTCCTTCTAGTGCAGAGGTTTGGAGAGCTGCTGCGAAAATTATGGAATCCACGCAATTTCAAAGCTCATGTTAGTCCCCATGAAATGCTACAAGCAGTTGTTCTGTGCAGTAAAAAGAAATTTCAAATTACTGAACAAGGTGCTAATTAAAATTAATTATTTTCATATATTAATCATCCCTTTATTTAAGCGATTGTGAAATATTTTGTCATAAATTTGTACTTGTTAAATGTACGTATCTGTACGATTTTATATATTGTGTGTAAATAGGTATTTATGTGTGTTAACACAAAATTTTAAGACATTTTTCGAAATCCATCAACTGTTCTGAATTAGGAAACTGTCCTCTTTGTTTTCTTAATACCATGTCTGGTTGTTTATTTTATGTGTATTTTTCATGCATCAGCTCTGATTACCAATTTTTTTCATTAAATAAGGTTCCAGAATGTAGCAATTACAAAACAATTATCACTTGTTATTATTGGCTACTAAAAGTTTTGGTGTAAATATCATTGGCTAAATGATTTCATTGTAATTATCCAAGCATATGCCTCATTCATGTTGTACAAGAACCATTCCAAGTAGCACAGCAACGTCGTAGCGGGTGCCGTTGCGAAACAGGTTGCAATATGTCATCTTTAAGACACCCAGATGACCGCGAAACTCCACTTTTTTGAAATTGTTGCAAAGACGTCTTTTTTATATCTTTGCAGATGAGGTTTTTGTCTTGTAGACATCACTATTGCGTCTTTCGCAGGTGGTATTTTGGTTGTGGACGCATCGTATCACATCTTAAAGACGCCTAAATGTTCGCAAAATTGCTCCTTTTTGTAACAGTTGTGAAAACAACTGTTGCAAAAGTGCGAAGGACATAATAACGACTGTTTTATGTCCTTGTGTTACATATTGATAAATTCAGAAAAATAAGCTTAATAATTAATATATATTTCTTCTTTTTTAAAATTTTGTATTCCTTGTATTTATCTAAAGTTTAAATATTTTATCATTTCCTGAAAAGCAGAAGATAATACAATTTTTTTCTCTTTAGACTAAATATGCATAATTAATAATAGCCTTAATTATTTTCAGTACGTTAAACTGTAGTTTTTTAAATAACTTAAATTCTAAGTTACGATTATTTAAGATTTCATCATTTTTTCCCCTTAAGTGAGAGTAATTATGAAAGTGTTTATTATAAATATATAACATTAATAGTAGGTTTTAAGTAAATGAAACTCAATTAGACATAAATAAAAGTAAAGATATATATGTGGATAAAAAAAGAGAGTTTCTGATAACAGCATTATCACATTTATTTCTGTTAAATCTCAGAGACATTGAAAATTGCCTGTGTCATGATAAATAAGGCAGCGGTTCTTAAGGTAACATAATCAGTATTTTACCTGAACTCAAGTATATTATTCGTGTTTCACAGTAAAAAATATAACCATTAACTTCTATATCTCCAAGATATGCAAATGAAAAAAGTATAAAGTAGTTAATAAATGTGATAAAAAATATACCTACATCTAATAACTTCCCATATTCATATTTAAAATGAAATAATAACCTAACAAACAACATACATGGCAGAACTATTTAAGAAGAAACATGAACTAGTAGTGTTTGAAAGTATAAATAGCAGAAGGTAGGTAACAAAAATAAAATCTCCAATTACTAAACAAATATTTCTTTTTTAAATAGTAAGCAATTAAAAGTGCAATAATTATGGATTGCTGTATTTACTAGTAATGCTGATGTTTCTTAACACCATTTCTTTCGATCATATGTTAATGTATTTACTTATTTTTAGTTTCCACCTTTTAGAATAGTGATAGATTACAATGATTATTTCATGCATTTTTTATGCATTTTTATTTCATGCTTTTTTGTTACCGTACAGAAATAATTGTAATAATATAGTATACGATAGTAAGCTAAGTACATTAAAGTAAGCTCTTCATTAAATAGCACATGATAAAACTTTTTTTGTTTCTATTTATTATGAATTTCTTTGTTATCATAAGCTCATAAAAAGTAAACAAAGAAAATAGAATATACTTAAATTTAATAAAAAATGAAACTTAATTTGCAACATTCATTTATTGAGGTAATCTAATAAACATACATAATGGCAATAGAATATACTTAAATTTAATAAAAAATAAAACCTGATTTCCAACATTCATTTATTGAGATAATCTAATAAACATATATAATGGTAATATTTAAAAAAAAAAAAAAAAACGCGGATTACACAGTGTTTGGAAGAATAGATACCAAACAAAAAGTAATAAACTGCAATTTGCAATCAATAAAAAATATTGAGTGTTTTTTATTATTACACAATTAAATATCACATAATTGTAGATTACAATAGTTCATAGAAATGCTAATGTTTCCTTAACACTAGTTTTTTTAATCATACGTTTCATACACTGTTTAAAATCATTAATCTTTTCTGCATACTGTACAAAAGACAATATACTATAGAATGTGCACTATTATTAATTTTAATAATTAATTAATTGCTTATATTATACATATATGTAATTCATCTTCAGTCATATTAAGTGCTGGTACCAGTCCAATAATTTCTTTGTATTTTGAAAATAATGAACATACCATAACAGCTTGAATTATTGTTGCTTCTGTATTGATTGCATTTTCAGCAAAATCAGAAAGTGGCTTACCGTTGTATATTATTTTTGGTTTTATATGAATTAATTCCGAAAGAATTCTTTTCAAATGAACACAATAATCGATTAATATGAATGATATGCGATATAGCACTTAGGGCATTATAACTGAAGCACAAAGCTAATAAGGGTATCCAAATATTGCACTGCTGGAACCGCAGTGATTGGAGACAGACACTATTTCCACAGAGACACTATTTCACGAATCACTGAGACGCTCTTTCATGAACACTATATACCACAGACCACTATAGCCCACAGAGACACTATTTCACAAACACTAGATTTACGATTAGCATTGTAGCATTTCTTCTAGAGCAGATATTCACACACAAAATAAGCACAAATCCAGCATTCTCACAATACTTTCACTCACTGAAGGCAGTTGAAGTAAGTAGATACAGAACAATGAGAAGATTCACAATGCGTTCTTTGATTTACAGTGCATTACATTTACTTTTAATATAAGCAATATTATATCAGTCATTGCTTGATTCAATTTCAAACAAAAAGTCAGTCTTTTCAAATGCCTTACAGATAGCATCTTTACCAAATTACTTGAAAGAACTGCTAAAATCTGAATTAATTGCACAGTTGTTCGAATTTAGCAGCTAGCCAAAGCGCGCAATTCTCAAGATTTTCATTTATATAAGCATGCAGTAAATAATGTACAGGTCTGCTTCTCCTGACTGTTGATGAATTTTCTGCCATGTATATTGGACAGCCGTGAATTCCTCCTTATTTCAAAAATAAGAAATTTCAAACAAGATTTAGAAATTTCATATTTCAGTAGTGAAATAGTTGCTAACATGTGATTTGCATTGATTTTGGAATATATGATTTTTTAAAATATATAAAATGCATAACTTAATAACGTACTTTATAGATTAGTTTCATTTTTAAATATTGTCGCGTAGCTGAAGGGATCGTACAAATGAACAGGCAAGTACTCAAGTCTAAATTCAAGACTTTTTATTAACTGGAACTGAATGAAGAGATACTTATATACAGTTGGTAAACATACTGGAACATTCCAAACTGGAAATGTTCTGGAAGAATAAGAAGGAAATTTACATAAATAAGATAACATTAACAAGAAGGAAATTTACATAAAAACCAATTATCAAGCATCTCACCGTTGATGGGTTTCGAATCCGGGACCTTCGTGTTTCGAATCCTGCATCTTCTCCGCTAAGCTATGAGGAGCTTGGTAAAAAGAAGCAATTTTCACTGCATTTCCCCCTTCTTAGGAAGAAGCAGCGTCCCACTGCAATCTGATCTGGCTTCTTGTAACAGGTCTCCTAGAAATATTGGGCTTTCTTTCATCGTCTAGTTGTACTTTTGGATCAAGATAGAGCTTTAATCTCAATATGTGAATGATGTCTTTTGAATTCCGTCATTTCTTATTTTGTTCCAATCTTTCTACTTCGCATGTTATGCCAGTTCATTACTTCGTTCTGTCATGTTATTCGATACGGTCCAAAGTAACGTCTTAGGAGCTTCTCGGATAACCCAACCGTTCATACTGGAGTGAAGACCCAGGCAAAGTCTCCCATGTTGTAGCTGACAGGTCGATGCTTCTCGTCATATTGGCGCTTGTCTGTGGTCTGCACTTTAAGAATATGGAGTTTTGCAAGCTGTGTAGCTTCTTCAGCTCTAGTGATCAGACGTTGCGCATAACTATCTTCGGAATCTTCGATACTGTTTGGGAAAATTACGTCGAGAGGAGTCTGGATATCTCTGCTATAAATGAGAAAGAACGGACTGAATCCCGTTGTGTCTTGTTTGGCTGAATTATAGGCATAGGTTATAAATGGTAGAATAGTATCCCAATTTTTCTGTTCAGTGTCTACGTACATGGACAACACGTCTGCTAGTATCTTATTGAATCTTTCAGTTAAGTCATTGGTCTGAGGGTGGTAAGCAGTCATCAGAAGATGAGACGTCTTGCATAGATGAATTACTTCTTTAACCACTTAACAGTTTCATTTTTCTGCCATATTATGTCCAAAAATAAGCACATTTTTTATAAACAATTTTGTATTAAAATCGATTGTATAAACTCAAATCCACAGTCAAAATTGTTACAAGTATTGCATTTATTAATTTATTTTAAATTTTTAATTAAGCGAAAAAATGGCATTTTTACTTAAAGTGGGTTTTTTAAGAACAACTAACTGAACTGTAAAGAACATTTTACAGGAATGGAAGCGAGAGAAAGAGCATGCAATATTTTAATACTTACATTTTATTTCAAAAATCAGCTTTTGAATGGTAAATTTTAAAGCATGGAGATAAACAAAGTCCAACATCACAATCAGGACAAAAATATCTTGTTTCTCTTCTGATCTGTTTTCCGCTCTCGTTTCGTTTTGAGCAACACACAAAGCATTGCCTCGTCGGTCTCAATTTCTTTTCGGTGGCAGGAATCACTTCTAAA